GGACATCCCAGGCACGATCGGTCAAAATCGTGCAGTGCGAGATCACACCGGTAGGTATTATCATACGATTACGACTCGCACTACGATTACGACTACGACTACCACTACAACTACAACAACAACAACAACAACACTTACTACTACTACTACTACTACTACTACTATTACTACTACTACTACTACTTCTACTACTGCTACTACTACTACTACTACTACTACTACTACTACTACCATTACTTTGACCACTACTACTACTACTACTACTACTACTACTACTACTACTACTACTACTACTACTACTACTACTACTACTCTACATACTACAACGATTACTCCCTACTACTACAACCTACATACTACCTACTACAACAATACCAACACAACTACTACTACTACTACTAACTACTACTACTCCTGCATACTACTACCACTAATACTAACTAAACTACCTACTAACTACTACTACTACTACTACTACTAACTACTACTACTAGATACTACTACTTTCCACTAATACTACTACTAAGTAATACCTACGACGACGACTACTACTACACAAACTACTACCTACTTATACTACAACTACAACTACGTCGACTACTACTACTACAACAAACAAACTACTACTACACACAAACTACTACTTACTACTACGTTGGACGACTACCTCACTAACTACGACTACTACTACTACTCCTACTCCTACTACTACTACTACGACTACAACTACCTACTCCTACTAACTACCACGACGAACTACTACACTACTACTACTACTAACTACAACAGTACTACGACTAACTACTACGGCTACGACTACTACTACGACTACGACTACGACTGCAACTGCGACTACTACGACTACGATTGCTACGACTACGACTACGACTACTACTACTACTCCTACTACTACTATCACTACAACTACTTCCACCACTACTACTACTGCTACTACTATTATTACTACTACTACACTTACTACTACTACTACTACTACTACTACTACTCCTACTACTACTACTACTACGACTAACTACTACTACTACTACTACTACGATACGACTTTTACTACGCTACTACACTAACTACTACAACTACAACTACTACCACCGACAACTACTACTACTACTACTACAAACTACTGTTACCACTACTACAACCTTTATGTTTCACTACTACTACGACTAACCAATACCACAACTACACTACTACTACAACTTCTACAACTAAAAAAAACTACTAACTAACTAATCCGAATACTTGCCAAACTACTACGCACACAACTACTACTACTACTACTACTACCTACTACTACTACTACTACTACTACTACTACGACTACTACTACTACTACTACTACTACTACTACTAGTACTACTTCTACTGTTAGTAGTACTACCTCTACTACTACTAACTACTACTACTACTACTACTACTACTACTACTACTACTACTACTACTACTACTACTACTACTACTGCTACTGCTACTGCTACTGCTACTGCTACTGCTACTACTACTACTACGACTACTACTACTACTACTACTACCACGAATATTACTAAGCATAGGAGTAACAGCAATGATCTGAATAACATCAACGATAGTACTAAGACGAATAGTAGTAGGAATAATAATAACCATAACAATCATAATAATCATAATAATACTACGAATAGTAATAATATCACTATTCATAAAGCGGAGGAGGAGGAATGCCCTGGGCAGGCCTCCCAGGTCCCCCTGCTCTGATCTCCTCCTCTCCTCCCTCCTGCTCCCCCTGCCCTGCTCAGCCGGCGCAGGGTTGCACCCAATTCTGCCTGCACCAGCCAGGCCAGGATGCATCGTAGTTTCACCGGTCCTCGTTTTGAGGGCTTGCGGGCCCTTGCGTCCGCTTGTCCGCCTCGTGGGCACGCCTCCAGGTGGTCCAGGCCTCCCGAGTGGTCTCCGAGTAGAGGGGAGGAGGAGGAGGAGGAGGAGGAGGAGGAGGAGGAGGAGGAGGAGGAGGAGGAGGAGGAGGAGGAGGAGGAGGAGGAGGAGGAGGAGGAGGAGGAGGAGGAGGAGGAGGGGGGGAGGAGGAGGAGGAGGGGGAGGAGGATCGTGCCGCATCGCCGATGCCGACGCGGGGCGATCCAGAGCCAGATTCGCTCCACGCCGACGGCGCCGATGCATCGCCGACGTCGCCGATGCATAGACAATGCATCGGCGATGCGGCACCATTCACCGATCCCACCTACTCGGACCCAGCTTGGGAGGCCTCCAGCTTTGGGGGTCGGCTTGGGGCCCAGGTGTGCCAGGCAGCGCCAGAAGCAGGACGTGCCCAGCCCTGCCATGGCGTGGTCGCAGATCTTATGCTCATGGCTCGACCTGCTCTTTCTTGCCCTGCTCGGCGTCGGATCCCTCTCTCCTCGATTCTCTGGCTGTGGCACTTGTCTTTCTGGCTCTGGTGAGCACGCCCTCTCTGCAGACGGTATCTATACACCTCCGTGCTTGGCCAGGGCCATCCCGGGCCCCATTATGGTGTATACGCCCTCATGGCATCGGCCAGGATGGCGTATCCACCGTGCCAGGGCTCAGGCTGGCCCTGGCAAGCCACGGTGGTGGTGTATAGATGCCTTCTGCGTATCCTCTCCGGCTATGGACACGTCTTTCCGGTTCCGACTCCCATGCGACTCCGGCCCCCATCTCTCCGTCCGGCTCCAACCTTTTCGATGATGATGAGGAGGAGCAGGAGGAGGAGGAGGAGGAGGAGGAGTAGGAGGAGGGGGAGGAGGAGGAGGAGAAAGAGGAGGAATAGGAGGAGAAGGCGAAGGAGGAGGTGGAGGAGGAGGTGGAGGAGTAGGGGGAGGAGGAGGAGGAGGAGGAGGAGGAGGAGGAGGAGGAGGAGGAGGAGGGCCGCGCCCCGCCCATGCTGGCCTCGTAGGGCTGGCCCGTCGGACCGACGGTGCGCGCTCTCAGCCGCTCGCTCCATGCTTCCTCACAGCCCTGGACGCCCCTGCCGGATCTCAGGCGCCCGCTGTTTTGCACATCAGGCTGGCCCCTGGAGCTCTGCACCCCGTCCACTTCTTGCCGCGGAGCCGCTCTTTGATGGTCGCGGGCTTGTGAACGAGGAGGACGTGGAGGGGGAGGAGGAGGCATATGCGAAGGAGGAGTGGGAGGAGGAGGAGGAGGAGGAGGAGGAGGAGGAGGAGGACAAGAGGAGGAGGAGAGGGAGGAGGAGGAGGAGGAGGAGGAGGAGGAGGAGGAGGAGGAGGAGGAGGAGGAGGAGGAGGAGGGGGAGGAGGAGGTGGAGGAGGAGGAGGAGGAGGATGAGGAGGAGGAGGAGGAGGAGGAGGGGGAGGAGGAGGAGGAGGAGGAGGAGGAAGACGAAGCTCTTGTTCGGAATCTGGCTCGGCCGATGCCGACAACTCTTACCACAGGTCGGGGCGGTGAGAGCGTGCTACACGGAGGTGAACGTGCGGAGCCGAGAGAAACCACGGGACAGATCGTGTTGCACCTCGGTTGCGACAGTTGTGTGATAACACCAGCTTTAAGTCGGGCGTGTCCCCCTACAGGGGGGTTTTCGACGAAAATGAAAAAATGCCCCAAGAATAGTCAACAAATAGTCTGGGGACTATGTTTGGCGTATTGTTTTGACCTTTTGGGGGTATTTTTGGGGTATTTTTCATTTTTCGTTGAAAATCCCCCTGTATGGGGGACAGGCCCGACTTAACACCAGCTTGCAGAGACAGAGGTGCCTCTGTTCGACCCGGTCCCCGACGTCCGGCGGCGCGGCCCGCCACGGAAGGCAGATGCAATGTGCGCACGGCTTGCCGCGAAGCTGCGACCATCCAACGGAATGTAAACCAGACGTGCGATGGCAAGTCAACTACGATTTCAACGAGACGACGTGGCTAGATCATGAGAAAACGGATGAGTGGGGACTGTCGGGACATCAGCTCCTGAAGTACGCGTTGTCCTGAGTAGACTCCCGACGCGCGCAGCTTCTCATGCGAGGCCATGGCCTCACCCGCCTCGCCCTTACGGGGCCCGGGCGCATGCCCGCACAGGCGCTCCGTTCCGTTCCGTTACTGCAACGTGGAATTGTGTTTTTGGTACAGCTGGACGGCCATGTGCTGATGCACGTTGATGCGTACCAAACCACCTATACATCAAACAGGCCAGGCACTGACTTCGGCCTGCAACCGTTCCAATGGAGAGTACAACAACGCGCAGGTCACAAGTGCGCGTGACGTAACACCCGCCCGCACTTTGAAGCGAACACCGTAGTGGAGCACGTGGGACAGCGGCATGTGCCTTTCTTGCCCCGCAGGGCCTGGGCCAGGCTGGCCTTCCTCGCCGTTCGGCGCCCCCCACGGCCGCGTGGCACGCCGCTGGCCGCCACCGTGGGCACCCCGACAACCACCCAGCGCACGGCTGCAAGTGAGCCACTCTCTCCCGCAGCTACCCGGCTCGCGCCTCCCGGCCAGCTCCACCGTGGTGCATGCACCTGCCTCGTCGGTCGCTGGTCGCCGGGTCACCGCGTCACTCATCGTGGGCCTGCGCGCCTCGCTCCGTGCGCCACCCACGCGCCGCCGCACTCCCAGCGCCCGCTGGCAGCCAGGCGGCATCCAGGGCCCCTCCTCCTCCTTGTCTTCCTCCTTGTCCTCCTTCTCGCCCTCCTCCTCCTCCTCCTCCTCCTCCTCCTCCTCCTCCTCCTTCTCTTCCTCCTCCTCCTCCTCCTCCTCCTCCTCGTCCTCGTCCGTAGCCATTTTGGCTCAAGCCATTTGGGCTCAAGCCATTTGGGCTCAAGCTTGATCGCTGCCGAGGGGACTGCTCAGAGCGCCCCTCTTGCGAGGACAGGCCTCGCGGCACAGGAGCTTCCGTGCCCGTGCTTTGTGGCTCGCCACCTGGCCCTCTGGGCCCTTCACGTTTCCACGCACTTCTTCCGCAGCACTTCTCCTTCATATCTTCGTCTCGCATCTGCTCATGCCAAGCGATGGGACCTCCGCCTCTCGCAGCGAACGTGGAGGGTCGCAGCACCATCGCCGACGCCGGCACGACCGACAGGATGAACGCCGCCGTGATCGTGATCGACGACGGGATCGCTCGTCTTCGCGTTCCAGTGGGAGCTCGCCGAGGGATGCTTCTGCCCCACCTCCACGCCACCACCATCAAGGCGCTGCTGGCTCTACTGGTGGCCACCATGGCCCTGGCGCTGCTCATCCACTGGCTGGCATTCCCCATGACGAACGGGCACGACTCGCTGCAGCCGCTAATCTCGCACCGACGTTCCCTTACCATGAACGACCCCCGCCACGAGATTTTGCCCCACACAGCCGCCCCGATCCTCTTCAAAGTGATGGTGATCCTTGGCGTGAGCAGCGTCCTCAGCCAGCTCCGCTCACCACGGTCGAGAGCATCGAGGCCGCGGTCACGGCGGCCTTCCAGCTGCAGCTCGGGGGGATGCGCACCGAGGTCAACACTATCATGGGCACGGCGCGCTCCAACATGAGGGACACGGTGCTGGAGCTCATGCGCCCCCAGGCGGCTCGGTTGGACGGCCATGACCACGACATCAGGCGGCTCCACGACAAGACCGACACCATGGCCCAGGACCAGAAGGTGCTCCGCGACGACCTCGACGCCGTGCAGCGGAGCCTTGCCCAGGCCCAACCTGCTCAAGACACGGCCATGGACCTGGCCAGGCTCGCCACCTACGACCGCCCCACCGACCCGAGCGTCTTCCGCATCGGCTGCTCTCAGCCCACCGCCTTCAGCGAGATCGAGGTGGCCATCGCTGATTGGGTCAAGGACGCGGGCCTGGAGTCCTGTCAATGTGCTCTTCATGGTGATTCCCCTGGCACGCTCTTCCATCTTCATCTCCCAGGTGGCCCTGCTGGCGTCGCCCCAGCCGTTCGTCTCGTGCAACACCTTCAACGTCCAGGCGGCAGTCGGCGACGCTTCACGGCCAAGAGTGTCACGGGAGCACAGGAGGCCTTGTACGTCAACCCTGACAAGAGCCCGAAGCAGGTGCGGCGCGAAGTTCAGGGGAAACGTCTTCTCGGCATCTTGCAGCGCACCTACCAGGACAAGGACTGGAAGCTCTTCAGGTCAGGGGGCACCATCAGCATCAACGCGACGCCCATCGCGGAGATCCCGCCTCAGGGAGTGGACGAGCCGACTCGATTGGCATGGTCCCCGCAGGTGGTGGCAGAGCACAACATTAATTTCCAGGGCGCCAGCACGCAGTTCAAGCAAGAGCTACAGAGCGTGGACACTTCAGCATGGACTTTGTCCTAGCAAACGGCTCCAGCCCTGGGAGATCAACGGTGGAGATCGGCGTGGTCTACGCGCTGTTTCGTGGAACGCTCGCGGACTCTGCTGCTGGAGCCACAAGCTGCGACATCAGAAGCTCAACAAGATCAAGCACCTCCTCCAACAGCGACACCTGATTCTGGTTCAAGAAGTACACGGCAACGAGGTGACGCTCACCACGTTGCTGGACCGGCTGCCCGTGCACTACCGCGCCTTCTACAGCGGCTTCCCCACCGAGCATGCTGCGCCGCGCCCGCAGGTCCCTGCTGCTCCTGCGCTGGCTGACGGCGAGCCTGCCTCGGCTGAAGTTGATCACCGCACTGGTGGAGTTGCGATCATCGCGCCGTGGCGTGCCCCTTCTCATGCGCGACAGCTCCCTGCCCACCTTCAGCCACAGTTCTCGCGCACTGTTCTCGTCCCTGGACGGATTCACATGCTCGGGGTCACCAGCAGCGACGGCCACGCGATCAGGGTCACCAACCACCACAACTACGGCATCGACTTGACTGCTCGGGCGGTGATCCGTCAGGCTTGGATGCGGAATCCTGATTGGGCACGACGGAATAGCTGACCAGGCTGGCGATCCATGCTGGCGACTTCAACGTGAGCAACTACACGAATCAATCGCTCCTTTTCCTTCGTCAACGGCAAGCGCGGCGTTCGCAAGATAGCAGGGCCACTCAGTCAGAGCCGTTCTGGAGATCTCTCTTCGACGGTGGCACGCTGGAGATCGAGAGCCCCCTGCCGACCCACTTCGACAGATCCTCGCGCGCGCTCGGCACCCTCGATTGCTTCTTCATCTCGCTGAGCAGGCGCTGCGCGACGGATTGCGACATCCCGATCGACATCCTGCAGGAGGCCGGCAATTGAGTGACTTCGCGCTTTCGGACCACGCCATCGCCGTTCTGCATATTCAGCCTCGGCGCCGCCCCACCTGCTGAGCTTCAGAGTATGCTGGCCTACTTGTTTCGCCATGTGAGGTTCAAGGAGATTCTTCAGACGCGCATGGACTGCGTTGGCATGGATGACCTTGATGTGCAGCAACGGTGGCAGAAGAACAAGGTTCTGATGCACATGGCGGCTGGTCTCACCAGAGATCAACTGCAACGGGGTCTTCCACCTGACGGCGCTCAACCTGCTCGTGGCGCGCGCGGAAGGGGAAGCGAAACGCATTTCCCACATCCAGACTGTTCCCCTTCTTACCCAGCCTGGTGCGGACTAGCTCGAGACGGAGTGCTTGGTGCTTCGCATGGCGGCTCGAGCTGTCTGGCGCCAAGGTGCACGGTTTGCCCATCGTCTTCGTGGCTCCTCTGCTCTCGCTCGTCGCTACTTGGCCTTTCGCGGACAGCGACGTCGTCTACATCGCTGATGGGGGGGGGGGGGCCTTCAGGAACCATGCGATAGACTGCAACCAGCGCCGCTTCGACGCCATCGGACAGCGCGCAGTTCGCGCTGGACGCCGTCGCCGGCAGCAACCACAAGGAGATGAATCTCCAGTTGGCGTTCCTGAGATGGTCAAGGTACAGATCACAAGTATGCGGCAGGCTCTGGCTTGGAGCCCGACGCAGCGTCGGCTCGTCTTGAATGGCCTCAAGCACGATCAGTCGGCAGACGGCGCGATCATCAGGGGCCCAACCGACATGGCCAATGCGATCCGCGAGCACTGGGGGCCCGTCTTCGCAGCTGCCTCTGGCAGCGACCAGGCCATCTCTGAATATCCGGACCAGCACCTTCCTTCCTTTTTCACCACTTGACCTTCCTCTTCCTCTTCCAGAGGACCTTGCCAGAGCTTTGCGCCGAGGGCGGGCCTCCCCCCCCTGGCCCCGATCGATTGCCGTGCGCCGCGTGGAAATCCGTACCAGTAGCAGCTGAGATCCTCTTCGACGTGTCGTTGCGGTTATTTTCAGGCGAGGGCCCTGTCGAAGGTTTGAATCAGTCGAATTTTGCCTTCATCCGAAAGGTGAAGATCCACGACATGTCATTGCTTGCATCCGTGATGCGGCCTCGCTCAGGCCATTAACGTTAAAGAATGCCGACAGTAAAGCTCCCGCCCAAACCGTCAACATACACCTGAGCACAGTAGCCAAAGAACGCGTCCATGGGGCCCAGCAAGGCTTCATTGGAGGTCGCAATTTTGGGACTCACACTATAAATCTCGACGCTGCAACTAGGCTGACCAGGTTGGGCGGCGATGCCAGTGAAGGGCGGCCGTGCTTCGTGTCCTCTGATTCCCGAGCTGCTTTCCCGAGCATGTCTCAGAAATGGCTCCGTGCGGTGCTTCGTAGGTTCGGACTCCCGCTGCCTCAATGCGCTGGAAGGTCTGTCCGAGGGATCGGTTGGGCATTTAAGCGTGGGTTCACAGCGGGTCCGTCTTTTTGAGATTTCCCGTGGTGCCCCACAGGGATGCCCTCTGTCTGGCACATTGTGGGCTTTGGGAATGGGCCCGCTGGTCCGCCACCCAGCGCAATCATGCGAGGCTGCCTCGGAGGTGATGGCCCCCGCTGTGCCCCCCAGGGGATCGACAGGCGAGCGCATTAGCCAGGTTACAATCTCCTGCTCTCACCGCGGCTGCCGGTGCGTGTGCTGACGACGTCGGTGTTTCTCTTCCCTCTCTCTCGCTCCTTCCTCTCGTCGAACCACCCTGTCGGGCAGCGGCGGAGTTGGCGATGCTTGAGCTTCAGCCAAAGAAATGCTGCCTGGTTCCCGCGTGGGCGATTTTGGACCCAGGGGGGACCGAAGCCCTTCGTGAAACGATTCGTTCGCTCGTGCCCGCGTGGGCGGAGCTCGTTATCTGCAGCTCTTGTCGATACCTTGGTTTCATGCTTGGCCCAGGCGCCACGGAGGAATATCAATTCCTTGCGAGTGGCGGTCACGCGGCCGCGCGGTCGCGGCGACCCGCGCGCCTGCGGAGGCGTGCCTGCGGCTCTATAGCATCCTCATTATCCCCCGTCTCTCCTACCTCTGTCAGTTCTTATTTCTCCCTTTGACCCTTCTCCAGAAAGAGCTGCTCGCGCTGCGCAAACTCTTAAGTCTGCCACCATATATTCTCTCTCTCTCTCTCTCTCTCTCTCTCTCGCAGAGGTGTTGTCTCTCCAGTGGCCCCACGTGCCCGAGCCGCTGCGAGTCGTGAAAATCGTTGCGATTTGGAGGGCGGCGGGTCGGACGTTCAGAGGATGGGGGGTTGTTGGTCGAAGCTTCGCGCTAGAGCTTTCGTGGAGGCACCCGCTGTTCAGGCGCTCCGAGGCCGCTTGCGTGCTCCGCGCTGGCGCGCGCGATTCAGCACTGCACAGCGATATGCTTCGCTCTTCGATCCTACCCCTGATGCCTCCCTCTTTGGTCGCCTCGTTTCGGCTGAAGTTGCCGCCCCTCCTGTCCGATCGTCTCCCCCGCTCTTTTTCGCTTCTTCGGTCATCAGGCAAGCTCATGCGTGCACGCTGGCACGTGCGCAGGAGAGGAGACGTCGTCGCAAGCCGGTTGCGTGGCAAGCTCTCTTCTCTGCTTCTCTGCGCTCCCAGATGCTACCTGATGGCATGCCTGCGCTCATCGGTCGACGATTCCGCTCCTACTTTCCTGAGAGCCCCTGCCCTCCTGCCCCCATCCTTTGTCACCGATGGCAGCGTCTCAAGGCCCATCTCAGCAGAGTTCCGCCGTCTCACGCCTGGCCTCGCATCAAATCTTGGCTGGCGCGTGGATCACCAGCGGGAGAGTTAAGATCTTCCCCGAGAGCGCGTGCAAGTTCGGATGCATTGATCGCCCTGACGCCTTTCCGCACTACCTCTTGTGCCCGAGGCTCTGGGCCGCCACCGACCTCCTCGGACCCCCTCCTCCTCCTCCTGAGCCTCTGATGCGTTTGGGGCTGGGGGATCCTCAGGACTTCGCGGACGGAGAAGTCGGATGGCAGCGGGCCCATCGGGCCCTAGTTTTGACTTTTCACATTGACCACAAGCTTCGCCCCCGCCTAGGCCCAGCGGTTGTCGCTATCGACTCCCAGCTGTACCAGGCCCGCAGCGCCGCGCGTGCTGCCCTCCATATGTAACGGATCACGCCCCCCAGGTGACGCGTGCTCCTCCTCTTCCTCGTCCTCCTCGTTCTCCTCCTCCTCCTCTTCCTCCTCCTCCTCCTCTTCCTCCTCCCTCTCTCTCTCTCTCATGGCCCCCGATCTGCAGTGCTGTTCCAAACTTTGCCGGAAGGAGCACGGGCGCGGGACCCAGCGGCGCGGTCCCCCTTCCCCGAGAGGACCGGCAGAGGAGTGGGAGGGGGAGGAGGAGGGGGAGGAGGCGGAGGAGGAGGAGGAGGACGACGAGGAGGAGGAGGACGAGGATGACGAGCAGAAGGAGGAGGAGGAGGAGGAGGAGGAGGAGGAGGAGGAGGAGGAGGGAGGAGGAGGGGCCCCAGACGCCGCCTGCCTGCCAGTGGCGGTAGAGGAGGCATGGCTGAGGAGGGGGAGGGGGAGGAGGAGGAGGAGGAGGAGGAGGAGGAGGAGGAGGAGGAGGAGGAGGAGGAGGAGGACGACGACGACGACGAGGAGGAGGAGAAGGAGGAGGATGACGAGGAGGAGGAGGAGGAGGAGGAGGAGGAGGACGACGAGGAGGAGGAGGAGGAAGAGAGCGTGGAGTTCTGGGGCCCCCTGCCGCAGGCCACGTCAGCCTGGCGCTCGGGCGGCCGACGGAGATCCACTGCGACTCCCCCGAGGGGCGCGAGCTGCGGCCCATCCTCACGCGGGTCGGGGACCCTTCCGTTCTGTGGCAGGTGGTCCGCGGCGACTTATCCACGTTGGAGGAAGGAGGAGGAGGAGGAGGAGGAGGAGGAGGAGGAGGAGGAGGAGGAGGAGGAGGATTAGGAGGAAGAGGGGGAGGAGGGGAGGAGGAGGAGGAGGAGGAGGAGGAGGAGGAGGAGGAGGAGGAGGAGGAGGAGGAGGAGGAGAGGAGGAGGAGGAGGAGGAGGAGGAGGAGGAGGTGGATTATGAGGAGGAGGAGGAGGTAGGAGGAGGAGGAGGAGGAGGAGGAGGAGGACTAGGAGGAGGAGGAGGAGGAGGAGGAGGAGGAGGAGGAGGAGGAGGAGGAGCAGCAGGTGTTGGGCGCCAGCCGAAACTTTGGTCGACTGTACGCGTGCTGGGGTGCTGCGGTCGGCATTTGGGGGGACCCGGAAGGGGCCCCGAGCCCTGGTGTGTTCCCCGCTCTCGCCCCTGCGGGCCCGCGCCGTTCTTCGAGGACTCGTGCCCGCACGCTAGTGCCACCGGTTGGGAAGCCGATCTTCTTGGACCTCGGGGGGCGGCGGATTATGGACATATTCGGGCCCCCGTTCAGGCGATCGCTAACATGGATCAAGGGGGCGTGGATTAGCGACGGCGTCCATTTCCATGGGAAGTCGCGGGCTTCCACCACCGAGCGAGGCGGCACCAGCCGCTTCTTGGGGGCCACGTCCCCTGGTCCATGGATTTGGCGACCGCGCGCCAGATCCACGGATCGCCAATCCATGTTTGCGCGCCCCCGGCCCGTGGGGCCCACACACGTCCAGAAGTATCCACAGCCCGCTGGACGGGCGATGAGACTTGTTCAGGAGGGGGAGAATGACACACAGAGACGCAATGAATCGTAGGAACACATACGGGACATACGGGACAGCAACAACACAGACACCTAACACACAGACTCTCCAGGAAACGATTGAAAAATACGCAGGGGGGAGCGGGAGGGAAGACAGAAACCCAGAAAATATCTGATAATAAAGGGGATATTGGGATTCGTGCTTATGTATTTGTGTGACCCAGGGCACTTGTTTTAGGATTCTGGACAGATTCGGGCCCCCGTGGGGCCCACACACATCCAGACGTATCCACCGCCCGCTGGAAGGGCGACGCGGATTATTCAGGAGGGGACAAACACACTGACACGATCAATTGTAGACCCTCCAGGAAAATAGGGGAACATATGGGAAGTGGGGTGGAAGACGGAACCCCAAAAATATGAGAAAATATTGGGAATCTTGGGATTTGTGTCTATTCATTTGTGTGTCCCAGGGCCCTTTTAGGATCATGGACAGCTTCGGGCCCCCGTGGGGCCCACACACATCCAGACGTATCCACCGCCCGCTGGAAGGGCGATGAGAATGATGGCACGTGCGCTGATCCTGGCCGGCCCCATCCTGGGCCCGGGATCGGCGGTGTATGCGCCTCTCTGGCCGAGGCAGCAGGGCACCTGCACCGATCCTGAACCCAGAGGGGGCCTTACCAGAGTCAGTGTACACCCTGAGATCCTGGCGTCTCAATTCGGGCTTTTTCGCCTATCTTCGGGCTCCGGGACCTTCACATATCGAGCCGGCTCGGAAAATGACGCAGAAGGATGGGGTTCGGGGCTCCGGTCGTGATTTTTTGCGATGTTGCATTTTTTTGCAATGCCAGATCTCAGGATATGCAGTGGTCTAGTTTCTCCACCTGAGATTCTGGATTCTAGAACATTGGTTTTCACCAGACGGTTGGTGGACATGCAGGAAGTCCCCGCGTCGCAGGTGGAGACCATGGAGTGCACGCAGAGCGAGCAGGGCCTTCACCGCTCGTTCACCCTGATGCACGTGGACGAGGCGACGGGCAAGGTCTTCGGGCGCATCGTCAGGGCGGGATAGGCTCAGAGGGGATGCATCGATCCCCAATCGCCCATTCATCCCCGATAGGGGCCCGATTGCCCGCTCCGTTCAGGACCGTGCAGACTTGCTATCGGGCCAGTTGCCGATCTATCGGCGATGTCTCTATCGCCATTGGCTGGTGGGTATTCCCCCCTATCGTCGCCCCATCAGGTCTATGTCATCGGCGAGCGGAGCATGGACGGCCAGAGGGCCTTCTCGCTCGCTGGTGAGCCAGTGCCGGTGGAGCTCTGGCGCTGCCCAGCGGAGCTTCGGTCACTAGTGCGCGGGGAGCTGGTGGACGAGGTGGTCTCCGAGATGGAGGAGGATGAGGATCGGGTACCCTCGCCCCTGCGTCCTCCCTCGCTCCTTGCGTTCTCTCTCGCTCCTTTCTTCTTTCACGATGTTTGTGCCGCTGTCTGATTTTAGCGGCAGGCGATTGGTTCCTCACTGCGGGCGGATGCGCGAGAGGTTGCTCTGGGGTGGCGCTTCGTCGTCGAAGGAGGCGCCGATATTGCTACCCACCCTCATCGTGTCCGCCTTTTTGGGCTTCCTGGGAGGCCTTCGTCGCCACGGCCGGATTCGCCTCAAGGTTCTGGGCAGAACGCACCCCGGGAGATGCCCGGGCTGCCCGGGGAGCAGCAGTAAGGGTGCCTTTCTGTGTGCCTATAGAGGAGAACTGGAGCCTGGCCACCGCGATGAAGGCGGTGTTCCTGTCGGCGTCCGGATTCTCCACCACCGATAAGGAGCTCCTGCTGGAGGAGATTAAGGGCTGTTGGGGCTCCAGGCCCATCTGCACAACTGTTGCAATCGCCTTCTGGCAGCGCTATTTGTGTAAGCTGGAGGGTGCCAACGCCGAGATGGCGGCCGCCGAGGCCATCTTGAGGTGGATGCCGCTGAAGGCCGACCGGGGACTGCCGCAGGAGCTGCGCGACGTGATGGCAGACTGCGGCTGGCAGCTGCTGTGCCTGTCGCCGAGGTCTGACGCGCGCTGCCCGCGCCCATCAAGGCCATCGTGCGAGCAGAGGGCGCGCGTCAGGACGTGCGTGGTGAGCTCCGGACGTGTGATGACGTGTTGAGGCAGCTCACTATTCCCGCGCGCGGCGGGGCCATCTTTCTTTTCGTCGGCGATCCCATCGGATTGGCAGCACCGCGTCCGTCCAAACGGACTGTCAGCGCCCCATGGCCCTCTTGATCAATGCCCGATCCCCTCTCTACTCGTGGCAGGAGCGGAGGAGGACAACCATCATGTTCTGGAGCAGTAGGGAACGCCATGATAAGCATGATGATGCATTGAACCCTGCCTGGCTGTCCAGTAGCGCAGATGTCATGGCGAAGCGCTCCATGATCCATGTGATGGCGGTGTCTGAACTGAGGCTGGAGCGCGAAGGTAGCCCCATGTCGCTCTGGGCCAGATATTGGTTCTTCTCCACGGGCAGCACAGAGCACGAAGATCGAGAGATTCGAAAGAGCGTGTTCTACCGCTGCTGGCGAAAAACCCGGGGGGTTCACTGGGGGTCACTACCGATTCGAACCCCTCCCCCCCCGCCAATCCATCATGAAAAGGGGGGGTGGTCACTACCGATTCGACCCCCCCCCCTCGAAAACCGGGGGGGGGGTCACTACTAGTTCGACCCCCCCCCTCGCCGCCAGCAAACGATTCCCGCTCCTCGGGACAGTTGGACAATGGTGGGGATACTGAGACAGTGGTGGGAACGGTGGTGGTGGGGACAGTGGTGTGGGGACAGTGGGACAGTGGTGCGGACAGTGGTGGGGACGGTGGTGGTGGGGACTGGTGAGGGGACAGCGGGACAGTGGTGGGGACAGGGGGACAGTGGTGGGGGGGACGGTAGTGGTGGGGACAGTGGTGAAGGCGGTGGTGAGGACGGTGGTGGGACAGTAGTACAGTGGGGAGAGTGGTGGGGACAGTGTGGACAGTGGGACAGTGGTGGGGACTGTGGGGACGGTGGGACAGCACAGTGGGACAGCGGCGGGGACAGTGGGACAGTGGTGGTACAGTGGGGACAGTGGGACAGCGGTGGGAACTGTGGGAAAGTGGGGAGAGTGGGACCGTGGTGGGACAATGGTGGGGAGAGTGGAGACAGTGAGACACTGGTGGGGGCACTGGTGGGGACAGCGGGGGCAATGGTGGGAACAGTGGGACAGTGGTGGGGACTGTGGGACAGTGGTGGGGACGCTGGTGGTGGGGACAGTGATGTGGGGACAGTGGGAATGTGGTGGGGACAGTGGGACATTAGTGGGGACAGTGGTGGTGGGGACAGTGGTGAGGGCGGTGGCGAGTACGGCGGCGGGACAATGGGACAGAGGTACAGTGGGGTCAGTGGTGGGGACAGTGGGGACAGTGGTGGGAACAGTGGGACAGCTCAGTGGGACAGCGGCGGGGACAGTGGGACAGTGGGACAGCGGCGGGGACAGTGGGACAGTGGTTGGGGCCGTGGGGACGGTGGGGAGAGTGGGACCGTGATGGGAACAGTGGTGGAGACAGTGGGGACAGTGCGACAGTGGTGGGGGCACTGGTGGATACAGTGGGGATGGTGGTGGGAACAGCGGGGACTGGTGGTGAGGACAGTGGTGCTGGGGACAGCAGTGGGGGATGTGGTGCGGACGGTGGTAGGGACCCGGAGTCGTTTGCCGGCGGTGACGCGGGGGAGGGGGGGAGGGGTTCGAACCGGTTGTGACCGCCCCCCTGGTTTCCGGAGGGGGGGGGGGGGGGGGAAACGTTCGAACCGGCAGTGACCCCCCGGTTTTCCGGAGGGGGGGGGGGGTTCGAACGGGGCCCCCGGGTTTTCCGGAGGGGGGGGGTTAGGGGGGGGCCGGGGGGAAGGGGGGGGTCCAGGGGGGGGGGGGGGGGGGGGGGGGGGGGGGATTTTCGGGGGGGGGGGGCCCGGAGGAAGAGGGGGGATTTTCCACAGTAAAGCGGCGGTGGATCACGCTCTCTCAGAGATTCGGTGACCTGCAAAAGCTGGCTCGAAGATGCGCCCCTAACTCCACTCAGGGTAAGTTTTACTGCTGCCAGCATGGTGCGCAGGCTTGGTGCTCAAGGGATTGGTCTCTGAAGGGAATTTCACATTGCTCGAAACATCTCATGTTTGCAGCTGTTCGACTGTTGACAGCTGCGCGAAACTTAGTTCCCAGCTGCTCCTCCGAGCCTTTGCCATGCACCTCGCGACTTGCTTCATCCACACGAGTACACCTGCAGGTGTTCCACCGCACTTTGCGTATGCATGAAGAGTCATATGCTCTCAGGCGTAATTGTAAGGTTGTGGCATGGCCGTGTCGATTGAAAATGTTCGCGAATCCTCGAGTAAGTCACGCACGAGTGGCGAAACTACCACAGTGGACCAAGAGGTCAGATCTTGATTAACCTGGTGGACTTTCAAGTGCGGCAGTTGAGACATTTCATGCCATGGCGAGGGTGTATCGAAATTGGCGCTCGAGCCGCAAACCGCTCACGCCGCTGCATGTAATTCATGCCGCAGACAATGCCAGTTTTCTGAAAGTCTGTCTGGTAAGTTACGTCTTGCGGAGGTAGAGCAAGTCTTGCCTGGCTCTGCTGCACGTGTATGCATGTTGTGATTGTATGGGATTGTTTGAACACGTTTGCTCTGCGTTGTCTCCTGGGAGCGTCAGTTCTGCATGTCTCCCCGGAGACTCCCTGCAGCCGCGTTTGATGCGCAGGGCGCTGTGACGGTGCGGTTGCCATGCGCGAGTGCGGATGAGCGCCCAGAAGGCGGGCCGCACGTGTGCGTTGCCTTTCGGTATCTAGGAGGAGGAGGAGGAGAAGTAGGAGGAAGAAGGGGAGGAGGGGAAGGAGGAGGGGGAGGGGGAGGGGGAGGGGGAGGAGGAGGAGGAGGAGGAGGAGGAGGAGGAGGAGGAGGAGGAGGAGGAGGAGGAGGAGGAGGAGGAAGAGGAGAAGGAGGAGGAGAAGGAGGAGGAGGAGGAGGAGGACGAAGATAAGATAAGATAAGAAAGCCCGTGGAGACCAGGTCAAGCCTGGGCACGTCCTTACATTCAGGCAACATACGGAAACTTACCTCCGCTCTTGGGAGGCAGCCCCCTCTCCAAACGGGACAGTACCTCCTTCCCAGCTTTAGTAGGAGGACGGTCGGTCTTGCAAGGCTTGGCAAGACCCTGAACATTCAAAGTGGCGTGAGCGCCTCAGTGAGCACAATACAAAACTCCCCGCAGCACTCGGAGGCTATGATCCCTGGCACAACTGGGGTACAGAGGGTGGGCAGACGGGTCAGCCGAGAGGTGAGCGGGGCCAGGACAAGAACCAGGGCGAAAGTCCTGGACACGACCTTTGAGGCTGAAACGGCGCGCGCACACCTGACATTTCAAAAATGAGCCGACTTTGCGCGGCTCATCATGGCCAGCACTCCGCAACCTCTGTTTCCTGACAAGGAAGGAGGGAATATGGGGAGGGAGCGGTGGCGGGCGGCCGAGCCTTTTCCGAGGTCCTCCTCGGGTTGGCTTCAACAACTTCTTGATGCACCGCCAGCAGGCGGTCAAGCGTGTGAGAAGCCACTCTGTCTACATACAAGGTGAGGCCAACCTGTTCTTGGGATGGGCCAGCTCGTTCAGCAGCCCATCCTGCGAACAAATCGGCACTCCAATTCAGGAAAAACTCCTCCTCCCCAGTGGCGAATTGGGCCCTCTGGCGGGCCGTGGAGTGACTCTTTGCCCACAGAACCTCGACCCTACCAGGGCCGCGATGATCGAGCGCCGACCAGATCCGAACCCACAGATCGAGCATCGAGCTACTAGCAACTAACTGAGCTCGTGGCTGCCTCATGCCCCGAACCAAGGGCAGATAATCATAATAACACAAATATCATCAGTCGTATGGGTAAGGACCATAAGGAAGGCATAGAGTTCAGCACGTGGACGGGACTGTTCACGAGTAGGTAAACTCCCACACATAACTGGACCCAGTTGAAGGGAGAGCCCATCAGGATAACCCAATCTCACAATAGACCAACCACAGCGTCGGGTTCGTTTATCCGTAGCAAACTTCCATCCAGAGCCATCCAGGCCCCAAGTACCTCCAGAGACGCATTGTTGAGCCTTCAGGGAACCCAATTTCCAAAGGAACTTGAGGGGGAGGCAGGTGACCACAAGTGGCATCCACAGAAGGAACTCCTCGGGTAAAGAAAGCACTAGCAGGGTCAGCACCATGGGAACCCTCAACAAGGTACTGACTGCCAGCAACACTGGGGTCCCTGAGGAAGGCGTTGGCAGGGCATCCCCAACATCGGTGAAGTGGGGTCTAACGCTCGTCTCCGCAACGAAAGCACATGCCAGACGTAAGGTAGCCGCTATCTTGAAGTCGGCTCTCAGGCCAACATCCACCAACAACAATGGTAGTGAGTAGAGCAGCTCTTTGAAATTCCCCGTCGTCGAGCAGCTTCTTATGCGTGGCCCTAAAGACCGTGAAATCAGCACCTGTGGCCAGGCCTCGCTCACAATAATGCCGGCTAGCCTGGGCCCAGACAAGAGCAGAGCAACTAGCACGCACAGCTGCCGTGACGTCATAACGAAAGTCGAGATCTGTCATCCTCAACGGCTGAGCACCCTCCACCTGCCACTCTTCAATGCTAATGGGGTCCCAGCCTAAGCCGAGCACGGTAGCAAAGAGGGCTGCAACGGGGCCTCGTACATGTCGCCATCTGTCAGAGGAAGGGATCCCTATAAGCTTGCCTCCCAAGGACTCCCAGACTCTCCGAACTCCAGATCGAAGACCTTCAGGGAGCGAAACCCAAACCTCGGAAATCAAAGTCAGCTGTCCAATACGCAATCGAAGAACAGGGTCATCCTTGGTACCATGCAAAACCCGCAACACCGACGTAGTGCACGACCCAGTAGACCAGAACCCAGAGCAGGAAGCAGCCGAGGAACGGATTTGCCTGAGAGCACCAGGAGAGAGCCCCAGGAGGGAGTGTCCCCAGGATCCAACGGATATAATACCTGGCTTATACACCTTACGTGAGGCCCCACACAGCCGAGCAGGGTATGCTAATTTACGACCGCGTCGAAATGAAATAGCTCGCCGCTGCTGGATCTTCCACGTGGCCCGTCTCTTGTGAGCCGTGGTGACGGAGCCCAAGTCCTTCACGCTCGCGGAAAACTGAATGGGGGCGCCATGTCTCTTAAACTCATCCTGCAAGAGCCGCTGCAACTCGACAGAGGAAGCAACGGCAAGTGACTCGGCGCTCACGATGCACCCAAGATCAGACATGTCGTTCTGGAAGGATGCTGCAGCGGGCGGCAAGTGGCGGCATATGAAGGCGACGGTGCTTTGCAAATACTGCGCGATGTCATCTACATATGACCTGATGGAAACACGAACTTGTGGGAGGTCTCCAAGGCCTTCTGGAATCTTGTTGTGGGCCTTCTCCAGTACCCCATACAGGTAGCACTTAACCCAAGGCATGCCCTGGGTACAACCAGCCAAGATAGACTCCCCAGACGCCAACACATTTGACAAACTCCCAGACACTTCGAGAAGCCTCGGAGCCGCGTGCATGAGGAGCCCCAAATACAGGAGGTGCCCAGGGCACTCGTGATTAATAGCAAGATGCAGCAACTTACTGGGGGCGAACCGAGTCGAAGAACTTCTCGAGGTCCCAGTGGAGGGCGCAGGAGCGAAACCCGCAAGTATGGGCCACCTCGTGGGCCAGCTCACGAAAGAGCACGGCCTTCAAGGCCGAGGATCCTTTTACAGCGGAGTCACAGAAATCCAAGTGAGCCTTATTCCGATCGTCGATGTCGAAGCCTCTAGCCCTGCAATAGATGCGGTGGATACTAGGGCACTTGACGATCGCACGTTCCTCGCAAATGGACTTGGGGAGCATGGCCATGAGACAGACATAGCACTGAGGTTGGAAACTCAACGTCTCTTCAACCTGGCGGAGGATGCCCGTGAACACTCCAAGCGCATCGATGGGCACCGGCAGGAGAGCAAGAGGCGACCACATATCAATTCCAAGTGACGTGGTAGCCTTGAAAAATGCACAAGCACGGGCGACGTCTGCAACACCCAACGGTGCGCGATCTTCGAGAGAGACGATGGCATGGGACCTGTGCTCGTCCATGCCAGCATTCAAACAGAGGGACTGCTGAGAGGTAGGTGTCCACCACGCTTTCCATTTTTCCTCCCGAAAACTCATCATAGACTTCGGGGCGTTGACGATTCCATTGGGCGTCTCGAAATACTCGGCCCAAACCTTCTCCTCAGCCTTAAGATACCTATGTACTGAGCTAGCACCTCGAGGAAGCGAAGCCTGCAACCAAGTACGCATACTGGCCTTGGTCCTAGCATGCGCGAGAGCCCAATATTTAACACAAACCAATCCACTAGCATCAACCAGGTTCTTCAGGGTCCCAGGGCCCCACGGGGGATTGGTCAAGGTATCGTTCCAAGTTTCAGCATCTTCTGGACTCCCCAGAGGCTCAATATGCGAGAAGACGTCGGGTGCCAACTCCGACAAAACGGCGCGGTGATGCCGAGCAGCGTCAGAAAAAGGCCGTTTGCACGTGAGCTTCCACAACTCATGCAGACGGCTAGAAATAAGCTGCTAATAAGACAAGTCAGGATTCCGAAAACTCTGCGCCTGCACACTGCGAGTCATCAGAGACAAGTCTTTTCGCCTGAGGATGCTCCCGCGGCCTACGTATCGGCGTGGGTCGGTAACGATTGCACATGCACGAGGTAAAGAGCGCAACTCCATAGCACGAGACCAAGTCAGATACTGCATACCTAAGCTCCGAGAGAACCATTCCTTCGAGCGGTCAATCATAGCATCGCACAGGTCATCAGGGATGTTCGTGGGGGCCTCCAGGAACTCAGGAGCAGCAGCAGCCATATAAGTATGCCAGTGATTGTCAGGACCATAGGCTTCGGGGATCTCCAAGGACTTCACATGCTGACAAAGGGGCTCCACCATAGCCTCTAGTTCCCGGGTCACGTCCAGACACGCGTGGGTCTTGAAGGGGGAACGGAGGTCGGCGGACACTTCCAGGTAGGGAAAGAGCAAATCGGAGCACACAACATAATCAATCATCGTTTTACCAACCGAGCACGTGAACTCAACACTCTTAGGTGCGATGGTTTTAGCTCCCAGAAGCTCCACTATTCCAGCATCCTCCAGGAAATCAACCGACATGTTGAAATCTCCCATCAAAAACCACGGGATCGACAGGCCCCGAACAAACTCGGCAACTCCACGCAACCGATGAGAGTTAGTTCCAGAGACTCCAATAGATGGAACAAGATAGATAACACCAACAGCAACCGCGCAAGATCTGAGACGCAATTCGAGAAAGAACCAGCATTCACCTGATTCCACCTGCACTGCTCCTTTAGCCTGAATCAGAAACTTGCGAAAGGAGAGACGAGGCTGGACAACAGCAACAACTCCACCATGTGTGCCTCCACCTGGCGATGCCAACGCATCCTGGAAGTGTGGAGACCACTTCATGTGACGACACGTCTTCTTGGCCAGGAAGCATCCAGGCCCTCTCTGATGATGCTCAGCCATAAATATGGCATCAACCTCAGTGACCTTAGCTGCTAAAAAATCCTGAGTGAGCTTCGACCACTTAGTGACATTCGCAAACTTAAACAACACGTGCTTGGCCGCCTGGGGAGGCGGAGGAGGAGCGCTAAAAGCCAGACCGGGCAGGCGGTGCGCCAGATGCGGCAGCGCCTCCTGCAGCAGCACCAGCGCCACGCGCATCACCTGCGTCACCTCCTGGTCCGACCTTGCCCATCTGCGCAGC